AACAGTATACAATTAGAACTGTAACAAAACCATCTTACAGACCATCCTATTTCTATCTTTTACTTATATTTAAACTTGCTATTTCAGAAATGTGTGGTTTAAGTCTGATGGATAGCGGTTTGCTGGGACACCAAGAATCCAGCCTCACTCAGTCAAGTGGTGTGGACAGTATTGAGACGGTTGATTCTAAAATCTATTGGCTCACTGTTGATGGCCCATGTCAGACATGATTAAAGTTAGAATAAGGATGCCACTGGGCATACAGAAAGAGTCATCACAGTGTGTTGTTCTTCACATGACCTACTTACAACCTGTAGAAGTATATAGCCAAGTATAGAAAAATTACAGTAATGACTGCAGATTGATGGCTCTCAGTTTTAAAATTTGGAATCCTCAGAACTAATAAAAGTAGCTCAACTCTTTTGGCACTTGATACTTGGGCAACTTGCTACAACTCAAACATAACTCCCTCTCATTTTAGGTTCTTAATACAAAATTCATCTTCCCATAATACCTTTCCACTCTTTTTGCCTTCTGCCGTCCCTTCTCCTTGCCTTCTGGTAGTAGGAAGATCTGCAGTGCTGGGATAGATATTAAGAGCACCACTTGGATTCTGTCAAGCCTACTGAAAGGTGATCACCACCTAAAACCTAAACAGCACTCTTGTGCTAAAAGCTGTGTTCCCATTTTGCTCTAGTTGGTAATCATGGAAATTACTGTTTCCCCAACAAGTCCAGTGATACAGACTGATTTAGAGAGTTGTTGGAGTTGCTCTGTGTGTTCTGCATTTGGGACAGGGTTGTTTTTGGAAAGAAGGCAATCTGCAGCAAAACCCAGCTTGCTAGTGCAAGTTCTCAATGTTGGCAAACTGTTAAAAGATGACCAAAAGTAACATTTATATTCTCAGATGTTCTGTTGTGTTTGTTTGTGTTTTGTTTTTTATAGACTGAGTCTTACTATGTAGCTGTCCCAGAACTCACTATGTAGATCAGGCTGGCCTCGAACTCACAGAGATCTGCCTTCTTCTGCCTTCCGAGTGCTGGGATTAAAGGCATGGGTCAATATGCCCAGCCCTCAGACATTCTTGACAAACATTTTTATTGTAGTTGTGAGCTATGTCTCATGAACATTATTTTCTATAAATATGTTTTCAGAATGCCACTTCTGCAGAACAAAGTGAACCACTTTTATAAAACTTGCCTAATAAAAACGTGTCTTACTTATTTTGAGTGTTTTTCTTAATGATTTTAAATCTTTTCATTTATACTTAACAGTGCTTCCAAGAGCATTCATTGTCTAGAATGAAACTTGGGGAACCTTAAACTTGGTATAAAACTCTATTATAATCAGAATAACACTGTAGTCAAGAAGTAGATAACATTTGCAGCCAGCAGAGTAAAGCACAGCCATAGGATGGGACTTCCTAAGCAACTCCACATAATGTTCCCTAAGGTTATAGGGTATCTGAGAATTTTATATGTATCTCTAGATTTAGCAACTATGTCTGATATGGCTTCGTTCCATCTAAATATAAAAATTACACCAAAGTGATTTGTATCAAACTGCTTTTCATGATCACATACTCACCAGTAAAAGAATAAAACACAGGGAACACATTGCTTGGTAAGGTCACTAGATATAAAATTTAGGAGCAAGAAATGGCATACTTAGGCCAACTGCAGTCTAATCATTTGGCTGTTCATATATATATATATATATATATATATATATATATATAATCTGTTTCTGTAGACAATCCACTGTACTTTCCCACTTCTAGCTTGTAATGCTATGGTTAAATAACATTACTTAGATACTTGAGTTGGGGCTCTTCTCTAATTCTAGTAGGAAGGTAGTATTCAGGGCAGGAGTTAGTATTCAGAAAACCAGATTTGTTTGAGTTTTTTTGGGGGGGTGAAATCAGATCTTTAAATGAAATAAAAACGGTGACATTAAATGGAATGAACTTGGTAAATACTGGAGGAAGGAGATGGTAACCTTTGATTAGAATTTGACCCCATTTCATACATTTAAGTAAGTACTAGTTGAATTAAATCACTTCTTAAGTCTCCATCAAGAAGGGAAACTTATACTGGAGGCTGCTCACTTATACTTAGCACCAGGTTATTTTAGTGAGCTTTTTTTTTTTTTCTTTTGGACTGGAGTACAAGTTGTGGGAGATAACAGATTTAATAGCTTCCCCTATTTCTGTTTGCCTTGTCTTTGGGACTGTATGACTCAGTGGCAGAACTCATCCTTAGCATGAGCAAAGTTAAATCCCTGGGTTCAATTCCCAGCACTACAAAGCAAAACAAGCATGGCTTCAGCCACCAAAATGGTTGCTTGGCTTACCATCAAGGTGGCACAGAATCCATTGACATAAGGACAAATAGTGACAGGCTAATTGACTCAAGACTACAGCCTTTTCTGGATCTTGGTGATTGGTGACTAGAATTCTCTAATCAGCCTGTGGGCTGTCATAGTGGCCAGATAGGCTTGCTGCCTGGCATTCCAGTTGTGCTGCTGAAAAACCAGCAGGGGAAGCATTTCTCCTGGGCGACAAGGGCATGGAAGATGACAATGACAGTGGAATGCCCTGAGTCTCTTAAAGAATTTGAAGTGACTGTAATTAAACCTTTGAGCTGACAGCAAAAAGTACTTCTTCCACTTGATGTCTTCAGAAGACAACTAGGAAATAAATGTCTTTGTCTGTACCATTTTGGGGGCAGTCACTGAGAATAATGGTAATGGTGATAGCCATCACACTTTGTTTTATGAATGCAGCCATTCAGATCAGCATTTCAGCTACCGTATTGTGTTTCTTCTTCATGCTGTTATAGCACTGTGTGCCCTTTGAAAATGACCTCATTTTAGACAGGCATCTCCTCTCACCCTTTTGTGCTACTTCTACAGGAGTTTTGTTTGCCTGTTGTCTCACAGCACTGAGGGAGGGACCCATGCTTGCTCTCCTACTGAGCCACATCCACCCCTAGCCCTAAGTTGGCATTTTAGTTCAGGGTTCTTTCATTCCAGTATCATTGCACATGCACTTGCTGCTGTTCAGTGCAGTAGCCTGAATGGGCCATGAGGCCATTGGTATTGGGTATTTTTCTGGTGGGTTCTGATAGTGAACAGTGACCATGGCTATGGCTTGTTTTCTCCCAGCTCATCAGGTAGCAGCTTGCTCTAAGTCAGGCTTAGCTGATGACATGATGGTTCATGTCGAGGGCAGAAGCAAGAGTCAGAGGTGGGGAAGAGCTGTATTCTAAGAAGGTGCTGTGCTTACTTCTGAAAATGTGCTGAGCCTTGGCCATGGGGGCAGAAGCTCATGAGAGAGCTGGGAAGTCCAGCAGTGGAAGCAACAGATACGCCTTCCAGCTGCAGCCTCGGCATGGCTGACTGGGCACTGGCTGACCCTGCGCCTTCAGAGTGTGCAGGCTTTCTCCAGTTCCCCACGTGGATCCTTTACCTTCAACCTCTGCCTGATTGACTGAGCAGCAACGGCAAGGACAATGACTCTCCTAGCTGAAGTAGCCAGTGACTTCAAGAACTCAACATGAATCATGGCAGTGATTTTTAAAATTGTAGTCATTTCATTTTTGAGTATGTAGAGTGCGGCGCATGTGAGTGGAGCAGAGATTGATGCCCGCTGTATCCCTCAGTCACTCTCCATTTTATTTTTTTCAGACAGGTTCCTCAGTGTCCCTGGAGCTCACTGATGCAGCAAGGCTGGCCAGTCGCTGCATCCCAGGGACTTTCCTGCCTTTCCTTCTCCAGCACTGGGGTTACAGGCTTGTGCTGTGGCACCTGGCTTATGTGGGTGCTGGGGGTCAGAGCTCTGGTCCTCATGCTTACAGAGTAAAGGCTTTACCTACTGAGCCACCTCTCTTAGCTCTGTTTCTGCTAATCCTGGAAACAATCCTCATTATTGTTTGGCATAGTAAACTGAATCCCAGAAGCCTGTGGTTAACACTGCTTAGCTGAGTGAAGAACAGCAGCAGGCCTAGAATCAAGATATAGAACCCCAGGTGCTGAAGCAGAAAACCATGGCAGACTAATGGAAATGACTTAGTTCTCCAGCTTAAGTAAAGACAGCCCATAGACACAATGCAGCTATGGCCTCTGATGTGTGCTGGGTGGATTTTACAATCATTTGATTTGGAGTGCGCCCCCCCCCAACCCCTCAAGAGGGAAAGCAAACTCTTTTGCTTGCTAAAGGCTCCATTTACCACTCCATGATCTCTCACCCCACTTCCCCGCCAGGCCTATAGGCATGTTTGAGTTTATAACCCTGGTCTAAAAGGTCAGGAACAGAGAGTTTATCCTTTCTTTTTGTGAGTGTGAGCTGAGAAACAAATATTCCCAACCCCCTTTCCCCCCAGGAGGTTTTTTCATTTTGCCAATTTTTTTTTCAAAGAAAAATATTGCTTGCTTTTAGTTTTAATTCATTTCCTTCTTTCTTGGCTATCCCTGTCAATATATAGAGCAACTTCTCAGAGAACTATTGGTTTCCAAGAATGCAGTTATTAAAGGTAGTCTTGTGTCTTGTACGTAAGCCCTTTCTGTACCCAGTCCGGTCTTCTTCTGACATCTCAACAGTTGACAGGCAGTCAGATCCTCTGCCACATGGGAGTATCATTACACAGTAAAATTCATACTGTCTCACTGGCTTTATTTAGTGTCTTATAACACCCTCAGAAGAACAAGGGGACATGAACCTGGCTTTTCCTGCATGTGTGAGTATCAGATACTCATACTGCTGGGGTGTATTTCACTGTCTTCAATAAATAAGCTGCTTCTTCTCTCTTTTTAATTTGTTATTTTTGAAGTTCTTTGTTATCTTTATTTTCCAAGTTGATTTAGTAATGTTTTTACTAGGTCCATGTAGGAGTCATATATCATGATTGTTTTGTTTTGTTTTGTTTTTCTTTCCCTTTTAAAGATGAGATGAAGAAAGGAAAGATTTTAAAACAGCTATTATTTGGATTTTTCTTTTTCAGATGCAAAAGAAATTGTTTTAAAAGCCCAGATCTTAGCTGGAGGAAGAGGAAAAGGTGTCTTCGATAGTGGCTTGAAAGGAGGTGTTCATTTAACAAAAGAGTAAGTCTGGAGGGGTTAGGTCCCCATCCTGTTCATAACTGCAAGGGGTCTTGAGCAGGAGGACTGGGCCTTGGCTGCGGTACAATTCCGGGAGAGGGTAAGTGAAGGCATTGGCAGGGCTCTGGCAGTGGCCCAAGGCTTCCTTCTCCCATTAGAGGGTTTTTTGTTTTTGTTTTTTATTTTTTATCACTCACCGAGGAAGACTATACTTGCTCTTTCCCAGACAATCTGAAATATATCCTAAGAGTTTGAAATAAAATCACTTGCAACTGAGATACCATTTCCATCATGTCATTCCCATGGAAAATGATCAGTGGTTCCTTACGACCAGTGGTGTCTTTGTGGCCTCTGGTAGTCCATGCCTGCCTTTATCTGAGCATCTTTGTAGCATCCTGCCCCAGCACCAAGCCATGACTCTTTTCATTACAGTCTGTTCGTTGGTTGTGGTCCTTCTTTTTCCCTCTCATTGTTTACTCTTTCCAGGATCATCCACTATTAGTGTTCCATTCACCTTCTATCTGAATCTGTTATGCAACTAGTTTTGTTTCTTTACTAATTTGTTTAGGGGGAAGGTAGCAAAGTTGAGCATCCCTTCACTCATTTATTCATTCCTTCATTTGTATTTGGCTGCCAGTGCATCCTTGTGACAGTACTAGAAACACACATGTAAATGGAAAGACATGTATTCTGTGGGTCATGTGAATATGAAGATGATGGCTAGAAATAGACCCTGGGCAATATGGCTGTGAGGAGGTTGTGTGGTGAAGGTAGACCCTGGACAATATGGCTGGGAAGAGGCTGGGGGGGGGAGGTAGACCCTGGGCAGTGTGGCTGTGAGGAGGTTGGGTGGTGAAGGTAGACCCTGGGCAATATGGCTGTGAGGAGGTTGTGTGGTGAAGGTAGACCCTGGACAATATGGCTGGGAAGAGGCTGGGGGGGGGAGGTAGACCCTGGGCAGTGTGGCTGTGAGGAGGTTGGGTGGTGAAGGTAGACCCTGGGCAATATGGCTGTGAGGAGGTTGTGTGGTGAAGGTAGACCCTGGACAATATGGCTGGGAAGAGGCTGGGGGGGGGAGGTAGACCCTGGGCAGTGTGGCTGTGAGGAGGTTGGGTGGTGAAGGTAGACCCTGGGCAATATGGCTGTGAGGAGGTTGTGTGGTGAAGGTAGACCCTGGACAATATGGCTGGGAAGAGGCTGGGGGGGGGAGGTAGACCCTGGGCAGTGTGGCTGTGAGGAGGTTGGGTGGTGAAGGTAGACCCTGGGCAATATGGCTGTGAGGAGGTTGTGTGGTGAAGGTAGACCCTGGACAATATGGCTGGGAAGAGGCTGGGGGGGGGAGGTAGACCCTGGGCAGTGTGGCTGTGAGGAGGTTGGGTGGTGAAGGTAGACCCTGGGCAATATGGCTGTGAGGAGGTTGTGTGGTGAAGGTAGACCCTGGACAATATGGCTGGGAAGAGGCTGGGGGGGGGAGGTAGACCCTGGGCAGTGTGGCTGTGAGGAGGTTGGGTGGTGAAGGTAGACCCTGGGCAATATGGCTGTGAGGAGGTTGTGTGGTGAAGGTAGACCCTGGACAATATGGCTGGGAAGAGGCTGGGGGGGGGAGGTAGACCCTGGGCAGTGTGGCTGTGAGGAGGTTGGGTGGTGAAGGTAGACCCTGGGCAATATGGCTGTGAGGAGGTTGTGTGGTGAAGGTAGACCCTGGACAATATGGCTGGGAAGAGGCTGGGGGGGGGAGGTAGACCCTGGGCAGTGTGGCTGTGAGGAGGTTGGGTGGTGAAGGTAGACCCTGGGCAATATGGCTGTGAGGAGGTTGTGTGGTGAAGGTAGACCCTGGACAATATGGCTGGGAAGAGGCTGGGGGGGGGAGGTAGACCCTGGGCAGTGTGGCTGTGAGGAGGTTGGGTGGTGAAGGTAGACCCTGGGCAATATGGCTGTGAGGAGGTTGTGTGGTGAAGGTAGACCCTGGACAATATGGCTGTGAGGAGGCTGGGTGGTGAAGGTAGACCCTGGGCAGTGTGGCTGTGTGGAGGTTGGGTGGTGAAGGTAGTCCTGGGCAAATGGATGTGTGTGGCGGAACTGTGGTGGGAGTAACCCTGGGTTGTATAGATGTGAGGAGGTGGAGTGGTGGTGGTAACCCTGGATACTGTGAACCCGGCTGTATAGTTATTTACAATATACCAATTGTCTTTTCTTTGTCATTCTCTCTTTTTTGTCTTTCTTAGCCCTAAAGTGGTGGGACAGCTGGCCCAACAGATGATTGGTTATAATCTGGCAACAAAGCAAACTCCAAAAGAAGGTGTAAAAGTTAACAAGGTAATAAGAATGCTGTTGATCATTTTGTATGTACTTAAAACAGAGAGCTTGACTTAGCTCTGACAGACCTAATGAAGCCCTGGGCTTTGGCAGTAGGCTCTTTCTGTTTAAGGAGTGCTGTGTCTTTGAAGAAAGACCCAAAGGGCTTTGAATATTGGCATTCACCAAAAGCCAGTGAGGTGAATGGCCAAAGCAGCGGTTTTCCATTCAAAGCACAGATACATTCTGCTTGAAGCTGATAAGGCTTGGCAGGCAGCCTTGTACTCAGTGAGCCCTTCCTATTCCCTTGCAGCCCACCCTTAGTCTTTCCTGTTAGAATTGCCTGTTGCAGTGGTCATTCTTCAAAATACCTCATGCTATACTTTGATGTTACTACCATTTTAAGCCATTTGCTGCTAGGAGTATATTATTAGTGAAGATTGTTAGCAGTAAATGTGTGTAGCATGCATACACATGACACATAGACATACACACACAGAGAAAGTAAAGCATGGAGGAAAATGGCCTGCCTCTGCTGTGCAATTATGAATGTAGGAGCCAAGTCTAGAACTTGCCTCTCCCTACTGCCCTGTTTTCAGCCTTTTTCCCCTCTCTTCATTTGTAAAGCTGTCTGCTGTATATACCCCAGTGCAAAATGAAGACCATGCAGAGACCTATGTTCACAGTGCAAGACCTGTGTTACAGAATGTGAATTCATGAGCAGAGTCCCTCGGGTGTGACATGTGGCCACCCTGAAGACAGCTATCATTGGCAAGACATCCATCCTTACAGTAAATTGGTTCCCACTTTTTGGCCCTGCTCTGTTGCTGTAGTTTTAGAGACTTGTGGCCTGTATCATTGTGTTGTACTTGGTAGAGGGGCACTGAGTGTTACATTCTAATTTTAGTTTTCATAGAACTGTTGAAAAATTCTTGATACAGCATTAGAAAGATGTCACTGGCTTGTCCTTATTAAATCATGGTAGGGTCAATCCTGGCCAAAATAGGAGCACTGGAAAGCAGATGATCTCCTAAGGAGGCATTTATGCCTTTCACTGTGCCTCTCAGACTGTTGGAACACTGCACCCCAAGAATTTGGGAAACCCTTAAGAATGATGCTAGGAGAAGGGAAAGGCTGAAGCCTGGTGCTGGCAAGGAGCTGATCTCCCAGGAAGATTGCACACATCCCGGCAACCTGCTGGAACACCTGCAGAAAAGACTGGAAACAGTGGACTTTGGAGCTACTCACACCTCTTGTTCTTAAACTCATGTTGTAACCCAAAAGATGGCCTTGGGGACAGGGATCACCTCTTCCCAATGTGACACATTGAGTAAATGTCCTTCTCTGCTTTTCACTATTGTTTGTTTAAGTGGTTCGTTGAGGCTTAGTGCTGGTCCAAGCTTCTTAGGAGGCCAGCGCCCAGGTGCTCACATAAGACAGTTCCAGTAATAACAGGATGATGGGATACTGATAGGTCGTTAGCTCCTTCTACTAAAACAACCAGTCATCTCAAGCTGACTGTGAGTCTTTCTCCTTGAAGCTGCCTCTCAGGTGGTGCAGGGGCTGTCAGAACTCAAGTAGACTTGTTCTTGTTCAGACTGCAGCTCTAATTTATCTCGCTTTTAAATTTGATTATGAGCCTTTACCTGCATAACTTACTCAAAGTTTGTTCACAGAGAGAATCATTAGTACTTTTATTTGTAGGGATTTGTTGATTTATGTGGACACATGGGATTTTAGATTAGAATTTGTGAAACTTTTAAAAATCATATAAAATTGTCACCTGGAAGCAGATTTGCACTATCTAGTAATAGAATTCTACAGGAAAGTGGCTTGTAGCTAAGTCCCTGACATGCTGGAGATAAGCGTGTTCTTGAGAATTGAGGCATTGCCAGAAAACCACCAGAGGCATTTATTTTTAAGTATTTTTATTCCGTAGTTCAGTAATGTGTAAAAATTCCAACAGAATAAAAGTCAGAAAGTAGTAATTTTTCACTCATCACCTGGAAAGAATTGTCGTGTGTTGTTTGTCCTTTTCTGATGTTCATGGTATGTTGTCACATTTCTGTAACGGCATGCAAGTATCAATGCTGTTGTTCTGCATCCTTTATTTGGGGAACAGGTTTTTGAGCTAAGGTCTTTTGTAGCTCAGGCTAGCCTCAAACTTGCTGTGTAGCAGAAAATGACTTGTATCTGTGTTCTTCCAAAGCTTGCTGGGCAAGTGACTGTGGAGTGCTGACTTTTTCCCAAGTCAGGACATGTGAGCCTGTCTCTTCTTTTTTTGGTGGCAGCGTGGACTTCAGTCAGCGAGGATAATTAGTATTAACCAGCACCCTTTGCTGTGAGCATAGACTTCAGTCATTGAGAGCAATTGGTATTAAGCAGTACCCTCCTGACAGGCATTTGTTTTGCAAGTCTTATAGATGGTGTAGCAGTGGAGATGCAAGGGAAAACTGTGTGCTTCACAACTGATTGTGCCTTTCATTTTTAAGGCCAGGTGTCTGGAGAGAATCCATAGATGGCCCAGTTAAAGTGACAGCAGGATCCCAGTTTCCCCCTTTCCAGGATATTTGGTGCCCGCCATCTTTCCCTTGAGCAGAGTTGAGTTCAAGGATTAAAGCCATTATCAGCATCTGTCGGCCTTGGGAAGAGCCAGGATAAACCTGAGTTATCATCATCCCAAGTTTGAGATTTGGTTGTGGTACTAAGATACCCAGGCATCACACTGGGTGCTAAGTTCCAGGATATCAGCCATGAAGTTTCCTGAACATTTTCTCTGTTGTGTTCGGCATTTCCTAGCCACTGACTCATGTTTTTTCTTTTCTTGTCTTTCTTTCTTTTTTGGTTTCTTTGTGTAACTTTGGCTGTCCTGGAACTTGCTCTATAGACCAGGCTGGCCTCAAACTCAGAGATCCACCTGCCTCTGCCTTCCAAGTGCTGGGATTAAAGGCATGTGTCACCACTACCCAGCTGTCCCATGCTATTGATAGCATGCAATGTGGGAGTGTTACAATTTAAATAAGAAATCTTAGGTAACAGGAAATATTGTATTCTTGTGTCTCTGTCCACAAAGGCTGATGTGATAGACTACCACATCCTGGGTGGACTGTATATAAGTGAAATTCATTTCTCCCCATCTGAAGAACAGAAAGTCTGAATAGTCTCATTAGCTTTGGTGCCTGGGGAGGAGAGGGTCAGATTTCTGTTATGCCTACAACATTGGAAGGGTGAGGGAGCTCTGAGTTCCCATTTAAAAGGGCACAGACCCCATCCCTAGGGGCTTCTCCCTCATGACCTGTTCACCTCTCAAAGACCTGTCTCTAAATAGCCTCTCAGTGGAGATGAGGTTGTAGCAGGAATGTGGAGGGGACACAGAGTGTTCTAGAATGTTGTAGAAATGAAACCTTTGAAGTGAGCTTTTATCCCACATTTGTCATAATTTTCTGGAGATTCATGGAGACTTTTTATTTCTATATAGTATTGTATAATGTGCATATTCCACAATTTTTTAAGTCATCATCTATTGACAGGTACCTCGATGGTTTCAAGTTGGGCTGCTACAAATAGAGGTATTCTGTACATCTAAGATGAACAGATTTGGTGTAGAAAGAATCTTTATTGGGTAAGAGGTTTTAAATTATGTGGTTGTTGTATGATCAGTGGATTTTGTCTTGTTTTAAATGGATGGCACTACATTGCCATCTGCAGCATACAGATGACTGGGGCTCTCCACATTCTGGCCAGCATTTGGTGATGTCTTTGCTTTAGCCATTTCATAAATGTGTAGTGCTATTTCATCCTGATTTAAAATTGTATATGCCTTGTTCCTACAGATGTTAGACACCTTCTCTTTTGTTTGTTTGTCCTTTGTAGGCTCTTCTTGAAGGTTGTGCTTACTATCATAGCATTCAGAGGGAGGTTGAGTCAGTGCAGACTCCAGCAGACTCCTAAGTGCCTTCCACAGCAAGGCTGCAGGGTTCAGTTTAGGCTTGCTGCATATGTACTCTGTTGACAGGTTCAGCTGCTGTGCTTCACATACTCATCTTAGCAGAGCCTTTTGTGGAACAAAAATACTTAGTTTTGATGAAGTCCAAACTATCCTTGCTCTTTTGTGGACTGGGCTCTTGTATGTAATCTAAGAACAAGGTTCTATGGTAACTTCATAATGGCTTTTATTTTTATGTTTTGTGTGTTGGTTTTTTATGGTCAGTTTCTTTTAAGTTATAGACTTAGGTCGGTATGTTTTGTTTTGCTTTTGTTTTTGCCTGTGGATGTTCACTTGTACCTGTACCCCTTTACTGTATTGCTTTTGTGCCTTCATCAAAAATTAGCTGCCTGTGTTCCTATAGGTCTCCCTCTTCTACTATTAAACTACTATAGCAAGGTAGTACGTTCTTATGCTGTGGATGCGGGATCTTCTCACTTTTTCAGTACAGTTTATCCTATTCTTGTTCCCTAGCTTACTCTTCTTAAGAATAATCTTGTCTTAGTTGATAGAAAAAAAAAATTCCTACTGAAGTCTCAATGGAAATTGTTTTAAACCATTCTATTAGTTTGGGGAGAATGGGTGTTTGCATTGTTAAACCTCAGCGTCCATAAGACAGCTCTCTTCTGAGCTCTGCCTTGATTCTGCTCTCACAGTTACATAGAGCTTAGAATATAGGCTTTGAATGTGGTGCTTTTTCTTTTTCTTTCTTTTTTTAGTTTTGCACCTAATGTCTCCTCCTTTTTTCAGTAGCAGTATTACTGGAATTGAACTTTTAATTTCACATGTTCATTTAAGTTCACATGTCCAACACGTTCGTTGCTGCTGGTATTACTTCCTGATGATGTTTGGTAGATGTCTGCACAGAAACCCTGTGGTCCAGGGCCTCCTGTGCCTGTGCTTGTGGGCCTTCCTGGGTTACCAGTCCTCCAGCATCTGACTTACTTGGTGGAACTGTGTCCCTTGTGCTTTATTAGACCTCATACTTCTAGCCATGCTGCTTTCTTCTTTATAATCTCCTGCTTCTTCCTGTTTTCTCAAATGTAAAGTTTTCTCCGAATTGACGCAACAAGCGTCAATTCCACATTCTCAAGCTTAAGCTGCAGACTTATAGAAACTTTCAATTTAAGTTTATTCCAGGTGCAATTTAATGCATACACACATACACACACATATCTGTTGGTATGTACCAGGCATTTTTGTTTGACTTTGCGCCATTGTGTTACATGTTGCTTGGGACAGGAACAGAGTGTGAGGCACTGCTTCTCATGGGATCCATGATCACTGTCATCAGTAACAGTTACTATAGGGAAGAGAGAATTAGATCATTTCCTAGTAATCTTAAGTCTCTGCAGTTAGGTTATGAGTAGTTTAACCGTTGCTGTTCATCTCAGACTTCAAGTGTGAATAGCACGATGTGAGGGTTGAGAGGAGGAGAGATATGCTGGTCAAGTAGGATAAAGACATTTTGAAATCCAGGGGATCCCCAAGATAATCTTAGAGAACTCAAATGAAGCTCTTGAAATTTATTTCCTTGAGCTTCCCCCGGCTGAGTGTTAAAGAGTCCATCAAATTTCTCTGTAACAATCCCTAAATACTTCAGCATCCAGTCACGCATGGTTTCATAATACAAGAAAATACTCAGCCTTTGTGTGGACTTTCTTGAATTATCTATTACTAAGCATCATTTTCCAGTTTGGCTTTTTTTCCTTAAGAAGTGAGACATTATTGCTCCCAAGCAAGAACTGTTGGAAAAATGAAGTGTGATGGAATGCAGAGCACATCAGTCAGCTAGTGTTTCAAAAGATGAAGAATAAGGCTCTTGAATGACACTTATCCTGGGGATTAGAATGCTACATTGCTTCTAAGAATACTGATAATCATTGACTATCTCACTAGACTAACTCTGCATTAGACTTTGTGTCCATAGTGAGGGACAGTGAGATCACTTGCTCTGCAAACATGAGGACCTAAGTTCAAATCTCTGTACCCATGTAAAAAAGTCATGCTTGCTTGTAATCTTACATTATAGGAGTTGAAGACAGGATTGCTAGAGCTTACTGGCTCCTAGCCTAGTTCCAGACTCAGCTAAACACCCTGTCTTCAGGAAGTAAGTCCCAGAGAGGTAGAACAGAGCACATGGTGTCCTCTTTGGCCTCTACAAGGATTGCATGCACGCACGCACAGTACAGTTTTATTATTATATTATTACACCTAAAATTTCAAAAATACTACCTTCATCTGTATATTGTCCCTTTCAAATTTCTTAAAGTATCTCTCTGTTCTTCTTTAGAAGACATTGTTTTGATTTCTTAAAGTGTGTTGCTGCTTATAAAGGTGAATTTCATATTATTTCTCAAAGCTGCACATGGTCATCATATTGAGAAGGAAGAAGTAGAGTTAAGTGCTTGAGTTTGCAGTGGTCAGCCACTTCTCATGAGGTGAACTGGGGAATTGATGGGTTTCGGCATCCTTATGGCCAGGAGGAGAGCTGTTGACAGGTGGTTGGATTTTTTTTTTTAATCATTTAATGAAATTAGTCTGGGTCTGTAGCAGTCTTGACACTAGCAGCAACGAAGAGATAGTTCTTTTGTGGCAATTAGGAAAAGCTGCAGGGTCTCGGGAGCTGTATGAAGGGCCTCATGTGTTCAGCCTGTGCTATACCACTGAGCCACATTTCTTCCCCTAATATTTTGTTTTTAATTGATGGCAAATTCAATAAAAGCTTGAAAAGGAGTTTCATATCTTTCCATTAGAGCTTTTAACCATTTTATTATATTAATAAAACTGTTTTATGGGCTTCTGGGTAGCTAAAATAAAGTACCTTTTACTATATAACTTTGAAAATGAAACCTAATACTTAACTACTTTTAGAAAAGGTGGTGTTATTTTGTTTTTTAAAATTACTTTCAAGTCTGTTATTGGTTATCTATGTGTATGTGTTCTTTAAAACTTCAGCCAAGACATTGCCACCATTCCTGTTGGGTGTCTGTAAGGTGAGGTAAAGTCTCTCTCAAGTGCAATTTGACAGTACTAATTGAAATCTTAAATATTCCATGCAAGACTTATACAGGGAATAAAACAGATGAGCAGAGATACATATACAAAGGTAATGACTAGGGCAGCATTTCAGCTATGAAAATTGGTGTCCATATAAATAGCCACATACATATTGTTAAATAAATGTTAACATATTAAATGTTGTATGGTTAAGGTTGGAAAGAGAGAAATCTTGGGAAGGCATCTAAGTTGTAGGGTTAAAAGTTTTAAAACAGGGCCAGATCTTTAGCTTAGTTGGTAGAATGCTTGCTTACTATGTATGAAGCCCTGGGTTTGGTCCCCAGCACTGATTAAACTGGTCATAGTGTCACATAACCATAATCCAGTACTTGGGACGGAGAGGCAGGAGGATCAGAAATTCTAGATCATCCTTGCTTATGTAGTAAGTTCTAGGTCAGGTCTCAAAAATAAAAATAATTTAAAAACAAAAGCAGGGCATCCTAATATGTGTGATGTGATTCACGTGAGAAATGATTCCATTACTGCACCACTTGCAGATAAAATGGAAAGGTTTTCTCGCTTTTATTGAAGCTGTTTAGAACAAAAAGATGCTTGGTGAAGATGTGACCAAGGAATGAACTCTCTCCACCCCACTTGCCCCTGATTGGTCCTGACAAGTGATGCCATATCCTACCAGGAGACGGGACACCTTGTCCTAAGTACTACAGAGGTTCAAGGTGCGGCCACAGTACCATTTTGACAATTGGGGCTAGGGTATCTGGATATGAGGAGACTGTGCTGCAGGAGGCTGCATTCAGTTTCTGATTTATATGCTTTGTGTTGGTTTTTTATCATCATTATTATTGCTGAAGTTTGAGCCCAGGGCCTTATACTTGCTAAGCATGTAGCAGGTCCTGTATAACTGACTGATTCCTCAGCTCATGCTTTTCCTTTTCTTCTTTTGTTACTGAGGGTTAAACTCTTCATGCTAGGCAAACATTCTACCATTGAGCACTAAGCCCCCCCCCCAACACACACACACACACACACACAAACACACACACTTTTTTTTTTTAAGTCATGGTCACAATTAGCTGTCCAGACTAGCCTCAAATTCAATAGGAGTCCAACCAGACCATATCTTCATATCTTCTTGCTTTGGCCTCCTCAGAGTTCAGATTACAGGCTTGTGCCAACAGGCCCAGTGACTGCATTATTTTAAATGAGTAAATACTATGTTTATAAGATAGTACAAAATGAAATAAAGTATAGCTAAAACACAGAAATTTGTAAATATATATACATCTGTATACTCTAAAAATTATCTTCTTTGGTAGTCAATCCTGGCTTTCTACCGTTGACATACGAGAAGAGCCAATGCAATAATATATAAGTACTGTTAGTGTGTCAGATTAGAACAGCTGTGTCCCGGGAGTTTTCCTCAAATGACAAAGATTCACCAGAAAGAAAAGCTAAGATGAGAATGGGAAGGCTTCCTGAGGCAAACCAGAAACCTGTCTCTTGAGCTCTTTGACAAGATCAGTTAAGGAGGTGGCAGGAGGCCTAGTGTAGCCGCATAGAAGCCTTAGACCTCTGGGCTCTAACACTAAATGTCAGAAGCCTAGAAACGATGCTGTGTGCTTTTTGTAGCTAGAGGCATGGATTTCCAAGCTCAAATCTGTCTGAATTCAAGTTAACTGGACTTCTCATTCATGCGCCAGGTGATGGTTGCTGAAGCCCTGGACATTTCTAGAGAAACCTACTTGGCCATTCTGATGGACCGGTCCCACAATGGCCCTGTGATAGTGGGCAGCCCTCAGGGCGGCGTTGATATTGAAGAAGTGGCAGCTTCCAATCCAGAACTCATCTTTAAGGTATGTTTGATTAGCTGGCCATGCTAACTGATTGCTCTGGTAACCACTTGGTATCTAATGCGGAATCTGCAGCAGGGAGCAGTGGGTCTGTAGCTCAGATATGAAGATGATGAATCTAACTGGACACTGATTACAAGTCCAGTATTCAAAGGCTTTTTCTTCTTCCCTTTCCCCTCTCTTCCTTCTTTCTCTTCCCTCCCTGCTTTTTCTTTCCACATCATTTCTTTCTGTCCAGCCTGACCCAAGAATTACCAAGAAGAGAACACTGCTGTGTCCCCGTTTCTGCTAGATTGGCTTCCTGCTTTTAACCATGGGTGTGGTCCAGATGCTGCCTCTTATCTAACCTAATGTGGGTGAGGCTCTGTATTAGTTACTTTTCTTGCTGTAACAAAATCTTGACAAAGTAACCTAAGGGATGGTTTATTGTGGTCCATTGTTTGAAGACATAGTCCACCATGGTGGGGAAGGCATGGCAGCCAGAGAGTGGGGCAACAGTCACACTGCATCCACAATCAGGAAGCAGAGGAGATGAACGCTGGTGCACAGCTCAGTGTCTCCTTTCCTTTACCTCTCTAAGACCCTGACCCATGAAGTGATGGTACCTCCCACATTCAGAAGTGAGTCTTTGTTCCCCAACTTCTTCAGCCTACGCATGACCTCACAAGCATCCTGGAAGACTTATCTCCTCTGTAATCTAGACTCCATCAAGTAGACAGTAGATAGTAAACATTACAGACTGTCCAGGGAAAAACAGGCATTTGGAGGTCCATATACTGCCCCATTGTTCAGTCATGAAAATCTTCACACTACAGTGAGATTCAGAGAGATCTGTTGTCAGATCCAAGTAGGGAGTAAGTTTTTAAAGGAAGTAATAATAATGTAATGGTTCCTACTCTAGCATCGTGTGAATTAATGAGTTAGTATGAAGAAATGCTCAGGTGCCATTCTCATCTACTGAGGTTCTGGAACTGTGAACCCAGTTTTTAATCTGTTTTCTTAATGTCTAATTCCATTAAAATTTTCTACAAGAAATACTATTTCCTTTAGAAATTGTTTTGTTTCCCCTAAGTAGGAAAAGAGTCCTATTTTCTGAACCTGCTTGTCTATATACTGTACCCACACGTCAGTGATTGTTTTAACAATATTCTTGTCAGTATTACATAGAGAGATTAACTACTTTGGAAGTTTAATTGAAGCTTTATACACAGGCTTACTCATAATGTCTAGTCATTTTCAAAATTAACATTACCTAAAACAATCCCATTTGCTAACATAATGCATGAACTAAATGCACATGAACAGCATTCATTGTTTTTGACAGAACAGCTCTTTGTAGAGAAGGTATTATTAATAATTTTCATCTGAATAAAGTGCTCAAGTCATAAGATAATATTTAACCTATGTATGACAACTCCAAACTTCACAGCAATATTAGGCAGCAAAGCCTTTCTTTGGATGCCTTCCAAAAGATGTCACAAAAATTAACTGACTAAATATTCATCAATGCCATCTGTGTAGTAATTAAAAGTGAAAACTGGCATCAGATCATCTTGTCAGCATGCCACCTTGAAGAATGGTATAGTTTTTGGAAGGGCTGTTTCATAGATGGCCTGCTAATTAAAACGTAGCCTATAGGCAGCCGCAGTAGCCCCGCTCAGAGCTTTATGGAAGAGTGCCACACTTTAATTACTCATTTGCCAGTAACCGTTTGCTTTGAGGTTTAAATCTTCGTACTTGACTTCTGAATTTTGTTCATTTGATGCATTTTTACTAGGAGCAGATTGACATTTTTGAAGGAATAAATGATAGCCAGGCCCAGCGGATGGCAGAAAATCTGGGCTTCCTCGGGCCTTTAAAAAACCAGGTACATAGCCATTGAGCGACAGCATGTGTGCCTCATTTTAGAAAATATTGCTGATGTTTGTGACTGACAGAAAACAAGGTGATTGTGTCTAAATGTTTCCCCAAATTGTTTATGATCAAGAAAATACTTCCTGCTGTACTAAGAGGTGATGTTAATGATTTATGTGTAGATATCTGTGAGTGTATCTGATAGAGATGAGTGTGTATGCATATTTATGATAGAAATGTGTACATGTGTATGTGTGTATGTGGTAGCAGTATATATATGTGCATATATGATAGAGATGTGTGTATGTATATATATGATAGAGTCGTATATCTGTGTGCATGTGAATGATAGTCTGTGCCTGTAATTTTATGATGTGTGTATATATGGGTAATGTCTATATTGATATGTGCATGCATATGTATGTATGTTAGACATAGTGTGAATACATATATACGAGGCAGTGTACGTTACAGGTTTATAATGTGTGTATATAATCCTGTATATGTATGTGTATAGATTATTATATATGTGTACATAAATTTATGATGCAGATGTGTTGTACAGATTTATGATATTTATATAAACAGATATATATGTATGTGACAGAGGTTTGTATGTTTGCTGCAAGTAGGTCCATAAACTTCATGCTATTTGGTGATATCTTGTTACTGTGATTTTGAGACAGTCTCTCATGTATCTCAGGTTGGTCTTGAACTTATGAGCCTTTTGGCCCTACTTCCTGAGCCCTAGGATTGCAGGCATGCACTCTGGAATTATAGACATGCACCCACACCTGGTAGACATGATGCCAGGAATCTAACTAGGGGCTTTGTGCATGCTAGGCAAGCATTCTGCTCACTACGGCTTCAGATCTTTAATTATTAAATTTTAAATTTTTTCTTAAGCATTGCTTGTGCTGCTTGGCATATACATGTTCATTCTGTTAGGAATTTATTTCCAGCATCTGTAGAATGGGGATAATGACTACTGGCTGAGAAGTTTGTAATGGGGATTCAGTTCAGTCTTGTGTGAGAGTGGTTGTTGACAGTACTCCATTAAAGATGAGTTCCTCTGCTGGTAGAATTCTTGCCTTGTACTTGTGGGACCTTAATTCCCACAACCAAGCAAGATTCTTATTGTGTTTATTAATAATGCACATTACTTGACTAATTGCTATTCTTTTATAGCCAGTGGGCATTTGAAATGAATATTGATGGCATGCATGAAGGCAATATTTCATTCAGAACAATTAAAAATGTAACCACGGTAGTAGCCTTATCTTTTGACTTTGAGGACAAAAAGTGGTACTTCAAGCTTTTGGTGAACAGAATCTTTTATGAACTTCTGGTTGTGCCTTTGGTTTGACCCATAGCACAGGCAAGCTTCATCCCACAGCTAAGTTAGAACTTTCTGCCTGCTTTCCTAGCCTTTTCCTCTTTAGCTGCAGGAGGGTTCCTTAGTAATTCTGTGTGCCCTCACTGTCCTGGGTCCATCCAATGGTTATACAGTAAGTTCTCCCACATTACCCATGGAGGATCGCCATCAGTATACTGAAATCTACTTCATCTTAAAGTTCCTTTTAGAAAATGGCATAGTGTTTGCTTATAACTGACACACATTTTTATCCAGGCATCTTACACCCCCTACAAGTATCAGTGCTCTGTAAATAGTTGCTATAATTTATTGCTTGGGGGATAATAACAAGAAAAAAAGACCTAGGTGTCCAGAAAAAGTCAATATTCATTTAGAATATTTTCTTTCTTATCTTATCTGTTTGTTTGTACAATATATTATGTGTGCATGTCCATGGTATGCATGATCAGAGAGGACAACTTGCTGGAGTCATTTCTCTCTTTCCACCATGTAGGTTCTGGGCATTGATCTCAAGTCATCAGGTTTGACAGGAAGAACCTTTGCCACTATGTCATCTCACCAGCCCTATAATAGTAACTAACCTGTGGTTAGTTAAACTTTTGGACATGAGACCTACAGCTCCTATTTAGCTTGGGGACAGTGATTTTTTCCCACTGGTTTCTTCCTGCCTTTAACTTTGAGATTTTAATTCTGTCTCTGGAAGTGTGATAGTGACAATAGGCAAGTCAAAGAAGGATAAAGTGGAACAAGACTTCAGAAGTGTGTAAGAGAGGGCAGACTGCACCCATCTGAAAACGGAAATACAGACTATTGAAAAGTAAAGGATTCATGATGGTAGAAGACAGGTTCTCCTAGACTAAGCCCCAGGAAGGGACAAAATGGCCAGCCTTCAACAGACAACTAGAGAAAAGAATTGTTCTTTCCAAGATAGGTGCTATGGAGACAGTTTTCAAAGGAAGATGCTGGACAAATTTTGGGCTCTGTTCTATACTGGTTAGTTTCATGTTGTTAGAATGGGGCTGCTAACTACATTTGCCTTTTTAAAAGATATAGTTAAGCTGGGCATTGGTGGCAATGCCTTTAATCCCAACACTCGGGAGGCAGAGGCAGGTGGATCTCTGAGTTTGAGACCAGCCTGGTCTACAAGAGCTAGTTCCAGGACAGCCTCCAAAGCCACAGAGAAACCCTGTCTCGAAACAAACAAACAAAAAGGTATAGTTAAAGGCTACTCATGTGGAGATGTTGGTCCCTGAAATACAGTCTCATATGAAGTCATGGTGTTGCAATTATTTGGTCCCACATTTGATTCCAGGTATATTCAGTCACTTGTGCACATCCTCTGTGTTTACCCATGTGCATTTCTTCCATCTTTCCATAGTCTCACTTGCTAGATCCTGATTCCCATCATAGCTCACAGAATGCATATTTATCATGCATGTACTTCTGAAGCATTTGGCATGTGCAAGATTAAGTGAAATCAGATGTCTAGGTTGGCTACATTCAATGCTTCTAGGCTATCAACAATAGGTGTCAGAATGTGGGAGCAGAATAAACCTAGTGTGTGTCAAAGCTGCCCACCCATTTGTTGGAATGCTCAGCTTATGAACACAGTAGAGATCTCTACAGATGCTAATAATATTAAATATATCCTAAGACACCCTTGCTAACCCCACATGTAAAGAGAAAATTAAGGGTTATTTCTAGTTCTTAAATAGCATAATTATGTTTCCCCAGTGCCCCAAACACTGTTTCTCGATGTGCTGTGTAGAGAAGCAAAAGTGAATATGCAGCTTCTTGAGGTCACCAAGGGGCCAAGTTGCCAAGTTATTTTTAAGTTAATTTATCAAGGAAAGGAAAGAAAGAAGAAAATCTTTAAGACAGGGTCTTACGTGTCACTGGCTGGCTGACATCTTCATAGGTTTGACTCTTTATTTGCTCACTGAGCAAGCACTGATTGCATGTAACTTACTTTTCTAGGCTGTGTCCAAAGTACCAAAAGGTAGCCATTGTTCTCCAGGGACTTATGGACTAGTGGAGGTCATTCTGCAGGCCTAGAATACATGAAGTGGGGAAGGAAGGAGAGGGAAAGAGAATGAAAATGAGTGAGATGTGGATAGCTTATACTTTACTGAGGAGTATCCAGTTTGTTTGCATAGTAGGAAGGATGGATGGCTCTTGAGGTCAGTGAAACTCTTTGTAACATGTATAAAAACAGGAGTCTCTGATTGAGGATGCTGCCTGCCTTAAGGCATGAGGATTAATGCAAAAGTGCCATGAGCAGAAAAAGCGTGTGAGAAAAGCAAACATTTAAACAGTCTTAGGTCACTGGTCCTGCCATGAGATAATCCAAAGCCAAGGGACTGCCTGTTCATCTTCCAATGGCTGCCTTGGTAAAATCTGTATTCTGTATATTTTACCACAGTTTTTTGAAATGGTTGCAATAGACCTCATTTATGTACCTAAAATTATTTCTATTATATACTTTGACCTTATTGATGAATTACTCATTAAATCATTTATTAAGTGTTAACTAGGCAGTGACTACAGAAGTGAATGGCACAGGGACTGGGTAAGTAGGGCCCTGCTACATGCACACATGCAGATGTACCACAACTGTCTAGGCTGAGTCACAGTCTCCTAAGATTATGAATACAAGACCAACTCCAGCAACTTAACAGGATCCAAGTCAAAAACAAAGCCCTAACCCCCCAAAAATGCAATTTCAGTTTCTTGTACAGCTTGGTCCTAGATACTCAGACACACATGGAAAAATAGGATTGAGTGGGCTGCTCTGATAAAGCAAAAAACCCAGCAACAAACCAGAAACTCACGAGTTGATTTTATCTAGCCTCTGTTGTAAGAGGCCACCGTAGGAGACACTCTCTGGCTGTAAACATCCCTGAGGACATTGTTATGCTGGAGGAAAGTGTGCTGATGCTATCTATGTGTACACTCTGGCAATATTAGCACATGGACCAAAGGAAAGCTTTGCCAACTCCCATGGGTCTGAGGCACTGCAGTCCTTGACATGGCTCTGCCATGTACTTGGGGATTCCTCAGATCCCCACATTCCACAATTTGTGGTTGAGTGGCCTTCTAATTTAATATAGATTTGTAGGTTTTAAGAAGTATCAGGATTAAAACTAGGAAACAATAAAGCAAATTAGAAAAAAAATTATGAGAGAGCTTTTAACTACTTCCAAAATGAGATTGGCCTTTCGAAAGTCTGACAAAAAGCCAGAAGCCATGAGGCATGGGTGATGTGATTATCCTTAGATTCCCATGTGGCGGGAATAACACAAACATAGTTGAAAGATGAATGTTATAGGAGAAACACATTTGCAACTTATATGGGATAAAGAACAAATTTTATTCACATAAAAACACTTCCTTTAACTTAATGATTAAAAACATCTAAATCTCAACAAGAAAGTATACAAAATCCATAGAAATGAAATGCAAGCGTATCTTAGGAGCTAGAATGATGCTCAGACTCATTCACTACATGAGGTTTCCATCAGCACTACATACACAATACCTGCTCTCACGTGCTATGCCCAGCCCGTTGCAGATGCTGCATAGCATTGAGTACGAAGTCTTTCTGGACTGCCGTGTGGGCTTGCAGGGTAGTTCCCTGAGTACTTCAGTAGACTCATTCAGATTGAAAATGCTTTCAGGGTTGTGGGTTGTGTGAGCACGCACAAGACACTGAGTGCAATCCTGAGAAACCACAATGGGGAAACAGCTGGGCATGTTTCATACCCTTGTAATCCCAATGATGGGAGGTAGAGACAGTTGGATCTGTGGGTCTCACTGACTACCCAGCCTAGACAACTTGGTGAGTCTCCAGGCCAGTGAGAAATTCTGTCTCAAAAAACCCCAAAATGGATAATTTAGAGGAACGATACCCAAGGTCTCCACATGCCATTCATATACATGACACATCATTTGTGTACACACACATTCACATACAACACAAACACGCAAACACATGCACTTGACCATATACATATTCAATAAATAATAAATAAAATGTTCCTTTCTATTCAGCTCCTCTGGGGGAATTATCCTAAAAATACCTAGTCACATGTATTACAGACACAAGAAAGGTGACATTTCAACTAAATGAAGCTATTAGAAAGAAGGCATATGGTCTTTATTTTAGTGATGAATATAATGAACGGTAGTATAGCTACACAATAAAATATGATCCGACAATTAAAAGGATGTCCTATTTACCCTGGCAATGAAGGTTTCTATTAATAAGGATAGATAGTTGCTTGCAAAGATGGAAAGTGTGAGTCTTAGCATGTGCATAGAATGTATCTCAGACAGCAGAAGCTGTCAGTGTCTGCCTCATAGGGTCTGGAATGCTATCATTTAGAAATAGAATCATAAGAAACTCTGACATACCTACCCATAAAACATTTGATACTAAAAAGACTGTCCTTGTCTGGTGTAATAGGAAGTGCTGGCAACCCTACTGCCTAGGATGGCTGAAGCAGAAAGGCCATGAGTTTGAGTTTGTACAGTAAGTTGGGGGTCAGTCTGGGAACCATCTTGAAATCCTGCCTGGAAAAAATAATAATTTTTAGCTTTTCACATTGGATTCATTCATTTATAAAATGTACATCAGATTCCAACCAGGATTTAGAAAATTTTCACATAGACCTGATATAGTTAAGATTCAGATATTATGATATCTATAGAAATGCTTTAGCCAAACCTGGGCCAGCTTTCGATATTGACCCTAGTGTGAATTTATATTTAGGGATTTGATTCATAGGTGTTATAAGAACTGGGAGGGTTAAGACTGAAGGAGTAGAAAGGCCTCCTTATCCCCGTTTCTTCCATCACATCAACCCTGTGACAGGGCAGAGCTGTAAGCTAGCTGGCCCAGCAACCTGGAAGCTAGCCTTATAGATATCAGATGTTCTGTAATACGAAGAAGGGGCAGCACCTGTGGCTCTTACTGTATATAAGTACTGGCATGGTGGACATCCAGTGGCAATGGGAAGTAAGACAGCCAAGAATGAGTGCCACCCTGTGTGCATCCACAGTTGCACAGGCTTCCTCTGTTTACTCTAAGTGTGGCGTCTCCTGAAGGTATGATGACTCCCACATGAGCTGTCCAAAGCTCCACCACATGGTACAAACTAGCCTGCCCTGATGTGAGCAGTGAGTACGTTCGCTGAGAAGAATGAGAAGGTAATGCCACAGGGCTTACAAACACATGCTTTCTGTAGTCTTTGCCTCTAGGACCCTCTGTGTCCAGTGGGAGCTGCATGGTTCCCTGGCTGCCCTGTTTAATAAGACTTTCATCCTTCTGTCTCACTGTTTCCATCAGACACTCAGGAATTGCTTTACAGATTATGGCTTTGGATTGATGAATATAATAACCATTTTATTCCAGCCTAATAAGTAAAACCTTGTCATTATAAAGTCTCAAAAGCCTGTTTACCTTTTTACTTAAATGGAGCCTGTTTGTATTAGTGATTGTAGCTTATATTGCAGTCTAACATGACTAACAGGGACATGATAATTCACAAAAGGATTAATGGCGCTTTTAGACTACGAAGAAAATATTTTGTTTTCTTAATAATGGTCTCCTCTTAGTGTCTAGAGGAAAGTTGAGCAATCTCTTCTAATGAATAGCAGTGGAAATTAAAATCATCATGTTTTTCAATTTTTCCCTTCAGAAAACCTAACTGAAAATAAAGACATAACTTTCTAATTTTAAGATTCTGTTAATGGAGCAAAATAAACTTTCTTGTATTGCTTGGGTATAATTCCATTTCACTTGATCACTTAGGCAGCCGACCAGATTAAAAAGCTGTATCATCTCTTCCTGAAGATTGATGCGACTCAGGTGGAAGTGAACCCCTTTGGTGAGACTGCAGAAGGACAAGGTAACAAACAACAGAAAGGAAGAAATGCAAATGGACTTTTATAATTATGTATATAAACTGTAAATTAACTTTCAAAAAAATCTGCAATAGCAGCAGCAGTGTGGCGTTCATTTCTTTCAGTAATTTAATTTGAGCTCATTTCAGATGCTCCCATGACGGTGCTCAACATTTTAACATTTGGGTTTGCTGTAGGCAGATGCCAAGCATTTCTGCCTGACTTTCATGCATGCAGACAAGCCCAGAGCCCTCGTTTTTCAGCAGTTCCTGCTGATAGAAGGATTTAGGTGTGGGTGTGTATCACTATATGTGGGTTTAACAACTGCACCTGATTCTTTCTGAACAGTTTGATGATCTTGAATTTGTAAACTCTATGCACAGTTTCACCTCCTGTCCTGAATGAGACTTCCACCATCTTGAAGAAACCCCTATTCTGCAACTAAACACACGGTTTCTCTTCTAGCATCGACTTGTACCACTGTTCACTGTTTTATGCCTCAGCACATACCACCACCACTGCAGGATGTTTTGGCTAGAAACGCATTCATAGCAAAGGCTTTGAATTTCATGGAGGAGTTTTGAGGAGTGGAGTGACAGTTAGAATAGTTTAAGTCAGAATATGAGCTCACAAACTTTGCCTTTTCCAAGCGCTTTGTCCTTGAGTAGAAGGAGCTGAGTATGTATGTACAGACACTATCATTGGGACCTAGGTATTTTTCGTAGGTAGAGGTTTTGTAGTCAAATTCAGAAAACTTAAAAGACTCTCTTCAGAACCCAGAGAGGCCTCAGGACAAATTCAGATTCTATATCCATCATATTCTGGCTACAGATCTGCACACTTCACTGGCTAAGCTTCAGATGTATAAAAGAAAAACTTTTATTAATCAAAGTGGTAAAAATGATAACCTATATTATAGACTGGTGAACTGGGTTGTACATCTAGAGTGAGATACAGAATAGGCCTATCCCCATGTTCATTAAAGAACATTTGTCTGCTTAGCCAGTAAGAATTTTTCAGGAAAACCAGTGTCCAACTGGTAGCAAGTTTCTGATAACCACAAGATTAAAACTATCTGAAGTTGTATATGTACAAATTATGTTTATTTAAACTTGTTTTATAAGATTTATTTTGTATGTATGTGTGCCTGAGTGAATTATGTATACTATATGCCTGCAAGTGCCTGTAGAGGCTAGCAGAACACGTCCATTGGCTACTCTGGAATTGCAGTTACAGGCATTTGTGAGCCATCTCATATGGGTACTAAATCCTGGGTCCCTAGCTGCAAGGGCAAAAAGTGTTTTTTACTACTAAACCATCTCTCCAGCTCCTCGAAATTAATTTTTAATTGCTGTGACTATAAAACCATCAGTATTTTATATAAAGAGGAGGAAGAGTTGCAACTGTTTTGAACCAATATGCCAGGCACTGTGATAGCCTTTCACCTCACCAGTAGCCCTTCAAAAGTAAGATTCATCATTGCCATTTTTATGACAATCAGACATTTAGGTCTGCAGAATGGGATGGGAGCCCTTGTCTCTCAGTTCAGTGTGTATGGTTGTCCTCCATGCCAGACCATAGTCCCATGTTTGAGAACACAAGTCACATGAATGCTGCATTCTCAGAACTGAAGGCTGATACTCAAGAAATGAAGGCATTTACTATAAAGGCTTTTCAATATAATATATGGAGCCAAGCCTGGCTGTGCAGGTCAGTAATCCCAACTGCAGGAGAGTCTTGAGCTCCAGAGCATCAAGGGCTACAAAGCAAAACCTAGTCTTAAGAAAAGACTGTAGGAAGGGTCTTCGAGACAGATCTGTCAGGAAAGTACTTCCTTTGCAAGCAAGAAGATCTAAATTTTTTCCTAGAACTCTTGCTGGTGCTCTTGTGATGGCAGGAACTGGCCATCCCTGAGACTCACTGACCTACTTGGTGAGTCCCAGGGTAGTGGGCGGCTCTAGCTCAAAAAGTAAATGGACAGCACTGTAGGAATGAAGCTTGGGGTTGTCTCTGACCTCTGCATGCATGTGTGATCATGTGGATGACAATATACAATCTAAAAAAAGAAAATGAAGAGCAGGAGGAAGGGAAATGTTCTACAGGGTGGGGTGACAATTGTGCTGTAATATTATTTTATTCACCCTTGTGATCTGGCTTCAGGGGAAGGGGACTACACGAGGAACTTTCCTTCTCTTGGTGTTCACAAACTTTATGAAGGCTAAAGTTTGCTTTTTAATTAATAAGAACAGGAAAAATTTATGAGTATTTTTAAGGAATTATCACAAAACACATTCTTTATGTACAATTAGCAGAAGCCTTACATGATATTTTTAAGACCAAAATTATCTTTAGCTATTAATTTGTTCATTGTACCATAAAAGTTTGGCTATTGAATTATAATCACAATTAAATGAGAGTGTTGGTTTATAAATCTAATGAGCAGTAATCAAATTAAACCCAATTAGGAAATGGTGATTAATGACCAAATATACAAGTTGGGTCTTCATCTTTGTCACAGTCCCTCACAGCATTCCTCTACGTAGGAACTATAAATGCAGTCATTTAGAGCTTAGCAATGTCGATAATATTTATAATCTAACTGCCTTACATCATTTCCATTTAGGTCAGTAACAGACCATTTCACAAGAAAACTTAATTATTGTTCTTATAATATGGAGACTTAAGAGCTATGTATCAGAAACATTTTTACTTAAAAGCTAGCCATTGTGCCATTTCTTTGAAGGAGACTTTCTTCCTTGTTCTATTGCTTACTTTTAAAAAAAAAAAATTTACTTTATTGTTCATGTACTTCCACAGCATCCTGTTAAGTGAAAAGCAGTGATGTCATTAGCATCAAAGCTGCTGAGTTGCCCTTGGGAAACATTTGACTTGGAAGAAATACAGTCTAAGAACAATTCCTTCCAATATGTTTAGCAGTGTCGTTCAGAGGGTAATTTGACACTGGGTTTAATTGTAATCATTTACTAGGATTATAATGGTTGGTAGTGACCTATAAAAACCTATTAACCTTGCTTAGTTCTTGTTTACCTGCTCCTACCTGGGTTACTTTTACTCACTTAACAGGGGAGTTCACAATGTGGATGGATGGCTTGTGCTCTGTAAAGAATGAGGCTTCTCTCCTACTTTCTGTGGAGCCCAAATCCATTCACTCAGCTGAAGGAATCAAACGGCCTTGCTTTCTCTGAATTGTTCTTAGTCAGGCTGTCTGTGCTGGCAGCAAAGATGGTGTCCAGTGTTTACCATTCCAGCAGCCATAGAAAGCCTTTCACCTGGTTCTCATTAGCCTTGTTTGGTCACATGTCCAGCGTAGGCCAGACATTGGTCAGTGTTTACATGGTTTAGGAGAAAGGCCATTCATTTCCCATTGAAAATAGAACAATAAAGTGAAAACACCTCTACAGGAATGACTCAGCTTCTATTGAAACCAAAGAAAATTGTTACTTGAGTAGTTAAAGAGAAATTAACTACTTTCTTCCCTGATTTAATTGTTGTCCCAAATCAATTGAGTAAATCTGTAGCCACATGAGAACAAGTTTTTCTTACAGGTTTATGTAACTGTTGTACATTATTCTTTCACTTTGCAAAGCCATTCAGAGAATCTGCATCATGTTTTCTTTCCCCCCTCCACCATCTATGATCACAAAAATATAACTTTTGAGGGGTCTTTGAAAAACTGATGAGTACCTTATCTATGCACCAGGGGATATTTGTCAGAAAGTTGTCGAAACTTGGCAATGTTGCTTTTGTCACATGCTTGGAAATGTAGGGAGGTTGCTAGCCATCCTACAGTGCTTAGAGTGGTCTCTCCCAGTGTGGCCAGAGATTGAGTTTACAAGTCAGCTCCATCTGGAGATGCCTCCATTCACTAAACCAAAGAAGTGAGAACCACTTAGAGCAGTGACTGTGTAGCCCAGATTCCTTGAGAACTAAAGCTGGGTGATCCAGTGTTAACTGGCACATCAAATCCCTTTCTTTCTTCAGATTTCCCTAAATAACCACCCTGTTGCTTCATGCCAACAAGTGCCCATGCTGTTAGTGGGTGTCCTCTGTTTCTCTCATTATACACAAAGTTCTATTTTCACAGTCCTTTCTGGTTCTATACTCCCCCACCCCCACCCCCTCTCACCTCAGATCTATTTTCTCTTCATAGCAACTGGAGGAAAGTTTCTTAAAAGTACACAACTCTTAGAACATCAATATTTAATGGAAAGTGGAACTCCTTTTAAAGATCAGCATTTTAAAGCCGGCTTGGCAAGGCACATTTGAATAGCACATTATGGTTATTTATCACAAATCAAACACAGCACATTGCTTCAAGACAGATTATTTTCCAAACTAATTATGACAGTCGTACTTCCTGCTGTTTTTCTGTTCCTTTTATGTGTATGTCTCCTTCTGAAATGCATTTTTTTTCTTTTGTTTAACTCAGTGGCACAGTCTTCTGTTGAAGCTCAGGGGTCAGAGGCCTCTCACTGCCAGTCATGTTCTCCATCAAGGTGGATGAATTAGCAGCTTGCAAAATCTCACGCCGCTAAACAAAACAGCACAAACACCCTATGAATATAAGTCCCTTGGCTTTCTTTGATATTTGTTCAGAAGGAAAATTCATTTGTATAATCTATCAACCATGTAACAATATGTTTTTGATGGTGGAAATTGTTTTATAAATATTAATAGGTATGTTTTTTTCTTCTACTTTGTACCCAGATTGGTTTTTGTTCAAGATGAATTTTCTACAGAATTGAGATTTCGGTTATGTGACACTGAGATTTTCAATGTCCAAGCTAAGCTCCCCATTTCTAGAAATACATTTTATCATGGTTTGTTGTCTATTTAAATGAGAAAGCTTAAGGTTTGAGCAAGATGGCACGTTGATTTTATTGGCCTGTTGTTGACACAGACATGAGTCCACCTGTAGCAGGATAGCTCAGCAAGTACATTTGGAAGAGTGTCAACAGAGAAATGAGCTTCTAAGAGTCCTTCAGTATGCATGGGTTAATCTCTCTCTTACGCAGGGGTTTGTCTCTCCTTTTTGTGTAGCTTTTGTTTGTTCTCTTTTTCATTCTTCAGACATACTTAAGCTAAGTACCTTTTGACTCCATAAGAATATTATGGATGTGTGTGGTTACTAGGCTGTTGAAGCAAGATACAGATGTGCTGAGAGGTACATCTAAGTAGGGGTTGCTACAAAGTGTCAGTAAGCATATTGGGGTTTGTGAACCTTGTGGTGTATATTGCAGTTGCCATTTCTGCTGTTGTCCTGTGCAGAAGCCCTGGACAATATGTAAATTTACACAGAAGTGTACATACACAACAAACAGGTTTATGAGCTGGCTTGAGAGACACAATTTGCCACCCCTGATGCAGATTCCCCGTGTGAAACCTTTCACATCTTTAGCCACCATATGCAGCAGTATATAATTTGAGGGCCATCAAAAGCCTCACACCCTTCAGCTAAAACTTTCCTGCCATGACAGTTATGTTGTTAAAAATGCTAGTCATTAAAATTCTTGCTTTGAGACAGTTCTGTGTTCAGATGACTACTGATCAAGTACAGCAGGGAGTCTGTACATCAGTGTTCTCCCAACCTGCTCTTCAGTTCTGGTTATTTATTACAGTGTATCATTGTATTCTGGAAAATACTTTCTATCTATGTGAGATATAAGGGAAATTTAAAATTATTTCCAGGAAATCCCTAGGGGTCTTGAGAAAACAGAGCCAAAGGCCAAGTATTAGAATAAAACATCCACCCGGTAGCTTCATTGCTTAGAAAGTTACAAGGGTTTTAGGATCTCTTTGCCAAGAATTAGATTTGAAAACTGCTACCTTTTCAATTTGAATCCTGTTCCCCAACACTGATTTTTTAACACTGGGTCACCCCCTACATTGTAAAGCTGTCTTTGGCTCAGGGTACTTTGGGGACATGGGCATAGCTGACAGAATAGTTCACTAGGACTTTGAAGGTTATATCCACATCAGGTTTCTTACATATTTTCTCTGCTTCCTGGTCTACTTTGGTGTAAACAGACACTGCCAACATACTCCCACAGTACAACCAACTGGTCAACCACACCTTACCAGTAGGATGAACTGAAATCACCAGGCAGAATCCACCCTTCTCTTCTTAAGTTACTTGTATCAGATATGTTGTCATAGTCATGTAGAAATAACTGAACAGACCGACAGACAGACAACAGAGACACTATGTCCCTAAGACTGTTAATGTTGTATATAGGTAGGCTACACTGGCCTTAATTTGAAATCCTTCTAACTCAGCCTCGTAAGTGCTAAGTTTACAGTGTAAACCACCAATCCCAGCTTTGGATATGCCTTCTTAACTGACTATTCTTACTTAACTTTACAATTGTGCAGTATTTTAGTTTCCCAGAGCTCTTGGAACTGCACACATTGATCTATTACCAGACAGGGAGCAGCTGGCCAAGGACTGCTGTAGGTGCTCCACTATGGTTCCTGCAGCCCTCCTTTTCAAGCACTGCCCGTCGGGCTCTCAAGCTGGTCATCAAACAGCAAGTTCCTTTCTGCACTTGGTATGTGCAGAAGTTTTTTGAAAATCTCGCTTTGCAGGCATTTGGTTGGGACTGCCTTCTGAACTTTGCATACATCTCCATTAATTATCCTTTCTCTGGAGCAGCTTGCAACTGTATTCTTTATATTAAGGGGCAAAGTTTAGCTTGGACCTATTTTGATTTACTGGTTTATTGATCTTGACCAAGAATTCTTTTATTTGCAAGTCTTCACTTAGAAAGTCAATTTGATAGCCTTTGCCCATTCATTTTGAAGGTGTCACTTACAAGTAATCTTGCCAATGAGTAATGGAGGAGCTAAAATTACTAATAAATTAATTAGAATGTATTTATAAACCCAGTGGAAAGCCAAGAATGAAGTTGCTTTTCTATTGATTATTATACTGGTCATTAACTGCTGAGAAAGTGCCTTTGCAGGGAGCACAGAGCACTGGCCAGTTCCTTTGGTAATTGCAGGATTCCTTCATTACAACTACACAATTGTGGAAAGTAATTACTCATTTATTCCATGGATTCGTAGTGTGGGCAGTTACTGGAGGTTTGTGGCAACACCTGGGACCTAAACAGGTGTCAGCTTCCATGTAAGAATTTCTCTTGTCAGTCAGTACTCATTTATGTGATTTTTGATGTGCTTAGTTTTCTAAATGACCTATTTAGTCTTCTTGAATGTAAATCTACCATTCTGCACAGACCCGCTCCAAACACTTGAGTCATGTGCAAGAGAACCTGGAGGAAATCTCCCCGGGTGCCTGTGAGTTCAGAGTACCATAAAGCAGTGGTTTTCTTTTTCTAGGAAGCAAGTGGAGTTAACTGGCCATGCCTGGGAAATGATGGCTGGCTCCCATTTCAAAAGTGAAGTGCTTCTCAGTAAAGCTCAAAGAAACAGCACATCTGTAAATGTTTGGTCAAAGATACCTGCTTGTTGATATCTCTGATACGACCAGGGAATGCTGCGATGGCACAGTGGAACAGAAAACAAGATTCTGCTGCAAGGGAAATAATAAGCATGCTGGAGTTCAGATACCGCTGATACTGTCCTCTTTCCCAAAACCATTCCCTAAATGTCCTGTTTGCAGCCCTTGTAACCAGAGGTGCTCATAGAGTGAGTTTTGCTGTGCACAAGCTGTTTGTGTACAATATGGAGGTCCACATCTAGCAAAGGATGTAGACTGTAATGCCAGACATGCCTAGCCTCATGGCAGTGACAGACCTGACAAGTCAGAAGATGGTTCTGCCCGAACCAGAGACATACTCCCAAGTCAAAAAAGTCTGTAGACTCAGGATTGCTTTCCTTCTTCTTTACAGGTGAGGAAGCCAAGGCCTACTATGAATCGAGGCCATATTACTAAGGTTGCAGAGGTAGTAATGTATGCTAGAAATGGTTCAAAGAACAGATTTCAAGATTTCTCACTCCAAAAAGTTAGAAGGAAAAGAAAAAAAAATCTGTGAAGGACATATATGTGTTGGGCCCCAGCCCCCATGGTGTCTCTGTGAATTGACAGGTGCATCCTGTTCTCTAGTCCTGGCTTCCAGCCCCAGCCTTGCCCCTCTGGCATCAAAAACAGGAGCTCTTACACCTGGGGTTTTTCCACTGTGCCATAAGTTAAGTCTGTATATAAGGCTGCTCCCTCCCTGCAAAAAGACAGATGCACACACATTCTCTTAGTGCAAGTGACCTGACGGCTCGGTTTTTAATTAAATCACCAGGCTTTTGCCTGATACTCAGACTTGGATGCCACAATTGGAGGTTCCAGTAGACTTAGTCGTGGTGCAGGCGCCACATATATGTAAGTTGGGTTCTGCAGTTGTCGTTTCAAAATAAGTGTGTAGGTTAAACATTATGCTGTATACCTTTAATATATTCAATTTTAATTGATATTGAGAGGTAGAAGAATTCAGCATCAATTGTAAAGTATGTATTCCAACTTAGGATTCTCTTTCATTAAGTCCAGAAATATTAAAAGAATAGTAAGAGGATACTAATAAAATGTAAGTTTTACATGGGATGTCAGGGGACAGAGGAGAAAAAAATTTGTGTCATTACTGTGGTTTGTTTGTTTTGTTTTGCTGCACAAAAGGGAAAGGCCATGCTCACCTGCCCCATATTAACTATAAGTGATAAGTTATAACCATGACTCCAGGGTGCAGTGTGCCAGCTCGTAGCTTTAAGTGTATGCTGGTGATCTTTGTTGTTGCATTATTGAGCAGAAACTGACAGGTGTGGATTAATGTCCTCATTGCTAGAGTGCAAATTCCCTCAGAACAGGGCCTCTGTCCTATTTGTCTCTGTAGCCTAAAAGTTCAAAGGTCAAGAAAGCAACGGTGGCTTTCCTGCCTGTAGTGTAAGAGAATTGGAGTGCCTGCTGGCCTGAAAAACTCAGGTTATAGACTCCTAAGACTCTCAGGTGTGGCCTCCTTTTCTCTTTATTTAGTTGTCTGTTTTGATGCCAAGATAAACTTTGATGACAATGCTGAGTTCCGACAAAAGGACATATTTGCTATGGACGACAAATCAGAGAATGAGCCCATTGAAAATGAAGCTGCCAGGTACGATCTCAAGTACATCGGACTAGACGGGAACATTGCCTGCTTCGGTAAGTACCAGCCCCAAGTCTGGAATTTTATAGGATTTCTGAAATACTATTTACTAATAGATGTTAAAATAGGTGTTTCTTATGGTGCTTCCTGGAAGCAGCATTTCCTCTCAAGATCCATTTCGATTGATGGTTGCTGATTTAAAGCCATTTCTCATTTCTGACACTACTGAGCTTTTGGATTGGACAATCTTTTCTTTTTGTAGGGCTGTCCAGTATGTAAGGTTCGGTAGTGTTCCCCTCCTCTAGAGACAGCTAAAGTTGTGGAAATGAAACAAAGAAGGAAAATGCCTAGATGTTTCCAGGTGTCTATGGTGTATAGCAGCATTCCAAAAAATAATGCTGAGAGGCTGGAGAGATGGCCACTGGTATGTGACTGCTGTGCAAACATGAAGGTCTCAGTTTTGCTCCATGGCACCCACATGAAAGCTGGATATGATGGTATATGGTGATATCCACAATGCTGTGCAGGTGGGAGACAATGGGATTGAGGGGCTGGCTGTCCTCTCTAGTTTTAGTGAGAGACCTATATTAAAAAATGAAGTGCAGAAGCAGTAGAGAAACACACCCAGCACCAACCTCTGGCCTACAAACACATCTGCACATGGGCACACACACATACACACATGCCATGTACATGTACATATTTAAAAAAAATAAACATTGACTTAAAGCATCTCAACCTCATTAATAACTTACAATGTCCCCCTTTGTATCCAGCATCATATGCTATGAACTGTGGAGAAGCTGGACTCTGAGACAAAATTATTTTTTCAGAGTATTTGCATTTGTTTTCTGTGTCTGTGGTAAAACATTCTGACTAAAAGAAACTTAGGGTAGGACAGTGTTTATTTAGCATACAGACCTCAGTCCATCACTGAGGGAAAATGGGGCAGGAACTCAAGTAGGAACTTGAAGCAGAAACCAGGCTTGCAGACTCAGTTGCTAGTTCATTACTTCTTATACGGCCCAGGTCCACCTGCCCAGGGAATGTTGCCACCCATAGTGGACCTTCCTTACTCATTAATCAAGATAATCCCTCACACACTTGCCCACCAGCCAGTCTGATCTGAACACTCTCTTGGTTTAGACTCCCTTCTCAGGTGACTGTAGGCTATGTCAAGTTGACAGTTAAAGTTTACTAGGAGTAGAGAGCATGCATTCTAACCATTTCACTAATATCTCAGACTGAATGGTAACCAGTTGCCAAAATACTTAATTCATTATGCCAGTTTATTAGTCAAACAACGGGCACATCATAGTCATCTAATTTAGTTTAAATGGCTTATGCAGCTGAGATAAGAATGGGTCTGTAGAGGCAGTACAATTTCAGTTATTGTCCACGGCTTCTAGTGCTGTGATTTATTTGCTTCCAGCTTAATTGCACACGACTGTGTTTCTGCTAGAAACAATTCATTGCACTGGAAACTGAGGTCTTCATCTTAATGGAATTAAAATAAAAAAGATTTGTTGCTCATTAAAACAACAGCATCATTATATTAAGAAGTGAAGAGACTTCAACAGCTCAATGTTCAATACAATGGAAAATGGCATCCAATTACAATTGACACCTAAAGCTCCTGCTTTGGGTGGGAGTGCTGTCTGAATGGTTCTGATCAGTCACCCCTCCTGGAGGAAATAAGCAAACGTGCTCGAAACATTTGTAGACATTTGGAAAGGGGGACAGTATAGGTTGTGTTTAGAACTATTAAATACAGATATTAATATATGAATGTGTCTCACAAACTCTGATTTCACTGCACACTTCTTGAAGATATTTTATTACACACACACACTGTTTTTATGATGACAAGACATACTTTATTTGCTGAGCTTCTTGGTACACATTAACCCACCCCAGGATACAGGTCCCCACTCCCTATTCTTATTTTAGTGTTCCCGCCTTAATTAAGGTAATCATAGTTCACAGGTTTTTCTGTGACCATTCAAGGGTCAGAGAAAGTAAAGGTGTTTTACCTTGAATAGTTTGCTGAGTTGCAACACCCCCAGTCCTTGTTACCCGAGGACAGTAATTCTCTATGATTAAACAGAAGAAGCAAAGGAAGTGTGATTGACCAACAAGAGTTAGCATTGGAAAGCAGGACTTCAGTGCTAAAATGCTACTTCAGTTCTTAAGAAAGACCTGGAAATTGTCTTACTTTAATTCTAGATTTAATACTGGGTTAGTAATTAACATCTTGTTTGAAGTTTTGTTTTTGATTTTTAAAATGTGTGTGTGTGTGTGTGTGTGTGTGTGTGTGTGTGTGTTTCAAATGCTCCTTGTCCACGGCTTCTAGTGCTGTGATTTATTTGCTTCCAGCTTAATTGCACACCACTGTGTTTCTGCTAGAAACAATTCATTGCACTGGAAACTGAGGTCTTTATTTTAATTCCATTAAGATGGAATTAAAGAGGGTTTGAAGAGGGTGTTAAATCCCTTGGAGCTTCAGTTACCTTCATGAACCTAGGTGCTAGGAACCAAATTCCGGTCCTCTGCATGAGCAGGGCATGCTCTTAATTAATCACTGAGCCTCCTCTCCAGCCCTTTGCTTTGCTTCTTGGGACAGGGTTGTACATGTGCCCAGACTGTCCTGGTACTTAACTTACTGTGTAGCTCGGACTGGCTTGAGTTCAGGCTCAACCTGCTTTACCTCTGAGAGCCAGGATTCTAAGTGTTGTTCTATCATGCGTCTGTGAATCAGAAGGAACATCAAGGGGTGCTGCTTTGGGCTCAGTTATTTCTCCTTTGAGTTGCTGTCAATGAGATCATATAAAGATGCATGCCTCCAGTAGGTGAAGAAAGAGCAGAACCCTGAGAAGTTGGATTAGTCACAAAAGGGTACACATTCAGAGAGCATTTCCATCAGAACAAACTGAGTGTCACTCTCGGCCCAATCCATTTGAACAGCTAGACACTCCTCACAGCTTCTTTCTGCCTCTCCTCTCTTCTACACGTTGCCTCTCCAGAACCACAGCCAAATTGGTGCATCCCCTTAATTGTTTCTTTTGATTTGAATTACTAATGACTCCTCATCATTCCTATTTTCTTGCTTATTCTTCAGATACATTTATTCTGATTGTTCACCGTAAATGGGTATGAGTTTATGAACTGAATGGAATTCCAACCAGGGCACAGATTGGCCTGGAAATGATAGGGCTCTCATTTGGCTCTGGTTGTTCATACACCTTTTTCTGTGCTGATTGGTCTGTCCTATGTCATGTGTTATTTGCATTTCAGTGAATGGCGCTGGATTAGCCATGGCTACTTGTGACATAATTTTCCTGAATGGAGGGAAGCCAGCTAACTTCTTGGACCTTGGAGGTGGTGTAAAGGAAGCCCAAGTCTATCAAGCATTCAAACTGATCACATCTGATCCCAAGGTAACTCTTCTTTGGTAGAAATAGGGCATAGTGTTTGCCTTCTTTCCTTCCAGATGATGCAGCTTGGCACTTGCTGCTAACAATGAAGAAGGAAACATGCATTTTGCAGCCTCCGGTACAAATTGTAGTACTTACACATTGCAGTATATGATGATTTGACTTTTGTTTGGTTGAAGTAGCTCCTGGGTCTCATTTCAGAAACTGTGTACAAAGTCATAGGACCTGGACGAGAGCATAAAAGACAGTGTGTCAAGCAATGATGTGATGTTGATTGGCATGTATTTGGGTAATTGACAACAAACCATTAGTCCTATGTTTACATGACTTAGGACTCAGCCTCACATTCCTTTTGTAAGGATCCTTAAGATATTGCCAGAATATTCGGAATTTATAGAATTATAGCGTCACCCATCACAGTGTATAATATATGGAAGAAATAATAGCCTCTCTGTTTCTTTATGTGGTTTAATCTCCATCCTTTATTAAGACAGTTGGTAACATACAGATTAAGCAGTAAATTACTGAATATAGTTTTCTAAATTCTGTTGTTGATTTGTGTAAATATTTTCTTCTTAACTTGAGTTTAGTGAACTGGAATATAGAAACTGTGCACAGCTAGGGGTATTGCAGGTGTTTAATAAGTTCTTGGTGTGTTCCTTCCTTTGCTGTAATTGTCTTTTCGTCATTGTCAGGGGATAACAGGCGTAGGCTCACTTATATAGAATGTCTCCGTTTTTTAAAATGTGTACTTTTCATGGTTTTCATTTAATTCTCTTAACTGGACTCAGGACTAACATTATACCATAATCATTTGTATTAAACTTCATTTAAGTATTGTTATCTCAATATTGTTAGAGTGTTTAATAAATTTTGTTAGAATTTAGAGCATCACCCAGAAAAATCATGAATGAAATCAAAACCCCCTCCCAAGTCCTGCATCACAGCTAGCTTCGTGTGGCTGCTTCTCATTAAGAAGTGAACTGGCAATAGCCTGTTTTCGTTCACATGCAGTGTGGTTCCATGTGTGCAGTAAGCTTGTCAGTATTTCTTGTGCCTTATTGTTTGCTAACTATGATTTACCTTACAATTTGTTAACTCTTTTTTTCTGATTCTAAAACAAATGTTAAGGTATCAGTAGCTGTAAGATATATTCAGTTCTCCAGTGTTGTCCAGGAATAGCAAATCATTGCAATCTAAGCCATTCATCCATTAAAGGTATTTGGGAAAAGCTTTTTTATACAGCCTGTGTTGTTTAGGTTTCTTTGGTCACGGTTGTTCTTGCATCCTGTGTTCTTTTGCACATGCCTTCACACTGCTTTCTAAGGGAAGAATCTTTTTCCTCCTAAAGATCCCCACATGAAGTGCACTCTGTAGGTGCCACTAATATGTGGCACACAGTACCTGGCTAGCCTGAACCACAAGGTATGAGAGGGCAATGGTTGTAATAAAACACTGATTATTAGCATCTGTGAGATTTACTTATGTTAATGATAGAGAGCCGTTGGGGGTTAAATTTACCTAGACAAGTTTATCAGGATTTTTCTTTGAAACTTTTTTTTTTTTTTTTCTGAGACAAGGTTTCTCTGTGTAACAGTCTTGTCTGTCCTGGGACTCACTCTGTAGACCAAGCTGGTCTTGAACTCACAGAGATCCACCTGGCTCTGCTTTGAGTACTGGGATTAAAGACATCACCACTGCCTGACTGAAACATCTTTTCTTAGTAGCTGCTCTCGAATTTTAACTTAATTAAAGTACAGGGTGTAAGGGATTTAAAAAGTGAGTTGCAGAACCATTTTTGTTGTTTTTGTTTAAATAGTCTCTTCAAAAAATTTGACTTCACCTTATGGAATATTTTTAAATGCTTGAGTGTTTCAACTTTTTTGAGATTGGCTGTCATCCTGGGATGGATAAAGGGATGTGGGAGTTATTTTATTTTCCTCACACTATATCAGGAAAATGAATGCATAGCTCATCTCCCAGAACATTTTCCAAACCTTGAAATTTCTAAGCGGGTTAAAAAGTATGGAAATGTAATCCGTGATTTCAGTCCTGGCTTTGGTTCATGCAAGTCAAAGAACAGTGAAACAAACAAAACACAACAAAACAGCCCAGCAAAAATGGTACAGAGGAGTTGATTTGATTTTGCAAAAAAAAAAACAGCTTGTAGTTCTGGCAGTAATTATTTCTAATAGAGCCCTGTCCACCTGCCTACAAGTAGTGCTTCCAGGAGCTCAAAGCTAATTATTTCAAAGGATTGTCTTGTTAGATATAAGAGTTATAGCTTACAGAAACTCAGAACTACAAACAGCTTATTAGTGCTAAACCAAACCCACAGTCTTAACACTTGTGTTCATTGTAACAACCTAATTTTATTGGTAAAGTAATAAATACAGCATCATTCAAGAAAAGTATGCCAGATTCCCATGTTTCTATCCACAGTCTTAGCCATAGCTCTGAACTTTTCATTTCTTTTGCTTGTCAAAGAAGCCCAAACTTGTTTTCATGTTTCAGCATAAACATCTGCATAACAAATTTGCATATTTATTTATAACATATGACCCAGAATTCCTCTTTTAAACTGTCTGAACCAAGAGTCTTCAAGATGGCTCAGTTATTCAGCTGACTTCCCATGAAATTTATCATTTAGTATTGTATTATTCTTGTGTTTTCATCAGGGTCCAAGTGGAGAGAAAGGCTTGGGAGCACAGGTCTCATCTGATCTTTATTTTGTCTTGCAGAACTCTGAGCAGAATTCCTAAAGACAGGAGTAAATATGAAAAAAAGTGGAGTTTTGCTGCAATCTGTTAAGAATATGTGCTTTTCAAAGAAAAGTGCTATATAGAATGCTGTCTTTGGGTTTTTGTTTTTGTAAATTATTTTAAATATGAGCTTTGCCTTGTATTTCTAATTCTTGAGTTTAGAATTTCAGGTACAACATCTGGCCTATATGAAGAATCTTATGTTAATGAATAAAGCATAGACTAGTTGGCACAGTTTCATCAATAACCCCTCTGCTGGCCTGCATTAACCAAGTCTGTTAGCCTCTGAGGGCCGCCTTCTGAGAAACCAGAGTAAGTGAGTGGCATTGGTGAAGCACCTGGCTTGTCTGGACTGTGCTTCCTGGTTTGTGGCCAGCTTAAGAGTGCCTCTTCCAAGCCCTTCAGCTGCCAGAAAGAAATGTGCTCTAGAAGGCATAGCCTCCTGTGAGGAGAGAGCATTTCTCGTGGGGCTCAGCAGCCAGGCTGCCTGTGGCTAACCCCGTCTTTATTACTTAGTGCTGTGGAAACTTGGACATTTTATTCAATTTTGATGTGCCTTAGTTTCCTCTCTTGTATAAAGTGCTTACTAAATAAGATTGCTTAGTTATAAGAATTGAAATCTGCATATCTTTTTTGAGGGGACTTTTTACTGAATGGTATCATTTAAAATATTTAAGGAATGATAAGTATAACCTGCCCACTAGTAAAAGGGTAATTATGCCTTGCACATGCTCCTGATTGGGGGCAGAGAGCGCACTTTCTGTGGGGCCTTCTTGTTTATCTTCATGTTTCTAAATTCACCGTTTTAACTCAACATTTGTTTTTACTGTAAAATGCAATTTTAAATATATAGTTAGAAGACTTCTCACTAGCTGAGTATGCCTATGAAACTGCAGCCAGGTCAAGAAATATCCCTGAGTCCCCGTGTGCACTACCCCCAAATCCTTCTCCTAACCTTACCTTTTTCCAAAAGGCAACCCATGCCTTCCTGTGTGCCAGTACAGGTTTGCTTTTACTTGGTTTTGAATTTAATGTGTCAAGTGCTGTGTGCTCTTGTTCTCTTGTCGTCTTCTGTGGTGGTACTGACCAGTCTCTTCAGATTCAAACATACTAGCAGGTGCCTGGAAACACCCAGGTTGGTTAATAAGGCCTTGCTTTGTGACCTATGAATTTGAACACACTTCATGTCATTGTTGGTCATTGGGGTATCTTCTAAATGTTTAAATCACCGTATTTATAAAGAAGATGTGAAAACAACATATTATTCCAGGATCATCTCTAAAGCACAGCAGAAACTTGTGTCTTCATTTTAAATGCCTGAAACGAGCATGGAAACACATTCCAAGAGCAGTTCTGTGTTTTGAAGAAACTGAGGTCACTAGACTTTTTTTGTTTTTGTTTCTTAGAGTTTTCTTGTAAGGACTCAGAATTCTCATATGACTCCATGACTGTGTTCGGACATTGGATGGTTGAAATGATTCATTGCCTTGCAGTGATTCTCTAATTGGACAACCAAGGAAACAGTTTAATGAAAGGAGGATTAAATTCATGTTTGAAAGAATGGTTTGATATAAAATTGAGAAGAGATTATCTCCATGAGTCCTGTAGTATGGGCTTCAATTTCTCCAGAATTGGAGGCAAGAGAAGTAAAACCACCTGGTCTTTTTCCATGACTGTGTATACCCAAATGACTTTTAGTCTAATGTTTTGAATTACTATCTGTTAAATAAAACATTTTAAAGTGCTGTGCTTTTAGAGTATATTTAAAGAAAAAGCAATACCATAGTTTTTCATAATTCATGTTTATAGCAGAGACAGGACGTTTGTTAAAAGATAAACTGAGGCAGATAAAATTTTAAAGGCTTTCCTAGGACAAATAGCAACCCCAAATCTGGTAGCTCCAAGCTGGCTTGCTCCTGGGGCTCCCCTGAGTTGCTGAGGGAGAGACTTTCTGAGAGCAAACTCAAAAATACAGCAAAGAAATGAGGCTGCCTGTCTGCAAGTGAACCATTACTTCCTAGGTCACTGAAACTCTTCAGCAAAAGATGCGGCTGCCTGTCTACAAGAGAACATCTATTTGCTGGGTCTCTGTAGACTGAGTACCTGTCTGCAAGTGAGCCATTGCTTCCTGGGTCACAGAAACTCTTCAGTGTATGTTTTTCCTTACAAGTTGTTTGAAAACAGATTATACTTTCACATGGACCGAGCGGATTAAAGTCTAGGTAGTTACTCTTTGTTTGT